GCTCCGGACCATAAGACACACCAGTTTTTAGAGAAGGGAAATGAAGAAAAAAAGATTCTGAAACAAATAGTGTCCTAAAATATTTTATGTGCATTAAAACCCAACATCACAGTCATAAACACATGTAATCAACCCTGTAAAGTAAACAGCAGCATTTAGAACCATTTTAGAGCCGGGCAAGCACACAGAGACCACACACAGCCGGGCAAGTAAAAAAACTTTTTTTTTAAAGTATATGTGTAAGCTATATTTGGACCATAAGACGCAGGGACTTTTCCCCCCCACTTCTGGGGGGAAAAAAGTGCGTCTTATGATCCGAAAAATACGGTAAGTTCCATGAAAGCAGGAACTCTCTTGGTCATCCCAATGCCTAACACAGGGCCTGGCACACAGCAGCTGCTCAGCAAACACGCGTGCACCGACACAACAGGAACACTGCCTTCTTCTGTACAGCAGTTTCCCCATCACCTGGGTATCTCTGATCTCATTTGGAGCCTTTCCCCTGCCTCCCGGCATTCCCGCACTCAGGGTGGAAAACCAAATATGCACACCTCCCTGGGCCTCTTTCCCACCCGTCCCAGCAAGTGGGGAGTACACGGGTGGGATTCTGGCTCCTTCCCCAGCTTCCAGGGCCCTCCCTGGGGGGTTGACTCAGCAGGGTCAAGACTTTGCATTTTTTAAAACAAATACCTCCAGATGATTCTCACAGTGGAAGGCCGGGCAAACACTGCCCCTGGCTACCAGAAAGCACAGAATCACGGCCAAGCTGCCTATTTCAGACACTAAGGCCGAAACGTCAGGCCTCCGATGCCTGCTGAGTCTAGTGGAGAAGGAGGGGAAGCTGCCCACCCAGCAGCTGTTTCCATGGTTCCACCACTTGGACCAACATGGAGACAGGTCCATCTGACCACCATCTCCCACAGTAGAGTCCCTCCTCATCGTAGTTACTAGCTATCTGCCTCCCTAGCAACCAGGCTCCCTGTCACTGGGATTCCCCCCCCCACATGCCTTCTCCAGGGCTTTGGGGGTCCAGTGCTTCCATCTCCCGCTTCAGAGTAAGGCTTTGGGAGCCTGGCCCAAGCCCATGGTTGGGGGCGTCATTTCCTTGGCCAGCGATTGGTTTGCAGTGAGCACATAACATAAAGGCAGTCCAATCAAAGGGTCGCTCAGGGCTTGAGTGGGCAGAACCTGAAAGGAAGCTTGTTCTTTCTTGTTGGGCTTCCACCAGAAAGGACGGCGCTTCCACAGCCAGCTCCACACCTCAGTTACGGTAACCGCGCTCCCCGAGGGCTGGCCTGTGTCCATGCAGTGCTAAGCAAGCACTTGACTTTGGTGATCTCATTCCATCCTTTGCCGCGAACCAGGAGACAGGTGCTACGCTCATCATCATCATTTGCTGATGGGAACTCTGGGGCACAGACAGGTTAAGTAACACTCTCTGGATCACACTGCTGGGCAGGGAGCCAAGGCAGCGTGGTTCTCCTAACCACGGAGCCGCCGGAGCCTGCCCACCGCTTGCAGCGGGAGAGAGAAACCAGCCCCAGGAAGGAAAAGCAGAGGTGGAGGGACAGGTTCTCAGGACAATCTCTGAGACCGGACGCCAGCTGCGTCTGAAGCTGAACCTTGGCGGTCTTTCATTATGAAAGCCAACAATTCCCCTTCTTTCTCCTTATGCTCGTTCCGACACCCCCCTCCCGCCTTTCTGTTGCTTCCGAGAGAAAGGATCCTGACTCCTTTATAGTCTTTCTAGGAAAATGCCCCTAACTATAGTCCATGTGCAACCTGCACCCAGCAGCTGCTCAGGCAGGACCAGCAGGTGTGGGTGAAGACTGCTCTCCCTTCCCAGGAATGCTGGGTCTAAACCCAACTGTGGCCGGCCCAAAGCCTCTTCCGCTTTTGGCTCCAAGTGAGGCCCAGTTCCCTAGCAACCGCCCCAATTAGGCCATCATGCCATTTATCAGGATGCCAATTAATTATAATGATCTTAATGATCTTCCAATTAGATAGCGCCTTGAATCCGGATCAGGGGTATGGCAGATCTCCCATCAGGCCCCATCACAGGGGCCCATGGAAAAGGCAGGCCTCCCTCACCTACGGGTCAGCATGGAGAGAGGCTCCACCTTCCACATCCACTGGGCACAAGGGCCAGACCTGCCACACACACTCTGGGCCACCCCACCCCCTGCAGGGACAGGCTCATGTGACTCCAGCCCCCACCACAAGAGGGCTGCACCTCTAAGAGGATTTCAACCCTCTCGCCATTGTGTTTCCAGGAGGCACCATCCTTTATCTCGGACCTCATGAGCTTTTTTTCTGACAGCCACATTTGCTGTTTCCCTTTGCATCTTGACTAGGGGGAGTGTGTGTGTGTGTGTGTGTGTGTGTGTGTGTGTGTGTACTTGCCAGACAAACCCCTATTTTCCTCGGCTTCCCCTGCCCTGCAAGCAAAATACAAACTCGAGATGTCCCCAGACTGTGGAGGTTTGAGGGAGAAGTGGGATCACTAAAGGGCTTGTGTCTTCCAAAGTTCTACTGTCTGTGTTTTCGTCTCCTGCATGTGTTCTTTCTACATTTGGGAAAAAGGCCAAGGTCATGCAGGAGGAGTGAGTGGAGGGTCAGCGTGAACTCGGGAGGCCCTGGGGCCTCTTGAATTCCAGCTCTACCAGCGAGCAGCTGTCTGAGTCACAATCCCCTCTGGGCCTCACTGTCCTCATTTCTGACAGCAATCAAAGGCCCTCTTAGGGTTTGGGGTGGGTTAAATACGTTTTCATGTATAAGGCCTCAGAACACACTACATCGGTGCTATCTATCACCTTAAGTCCACACCAAGCCATTCCTTTGAACTGCAAGCTTATCAACATGCTGATGCTCTTCTGCAGGACCAGGCTTCTGGTCTCTTTCTAAAGGGGGGAGGGGGGGAGAGGCGACATCTAAGAACAGACTTGATCCAGTTGGGTGACAGTCCCAGTCTGGCTAAGTCAGACCAGAAGCTGCCCCCTTCAGGCAGGTCCAAACAGAGAACTTGAACATATCCAGAGAAAGCAAGGGGGAATGTTATCTCCAAATCAAAAGGTGAACTTCAAATGCTAGGGTGGGCAACCACACATTAGCTAGGTCCTGGAGATGGCAGCTGAGTGGAGCTGTTGAGTATGTATGTGACTGTGCATGCACACACACAGTCTCACCCACAGCCACACTGTCTTCCTCCAAGCCCAGCATTTTTATAATCAACTCATCATTAAATCCTTGCGTTTGAAAACCTAACATGTTATTAGGGTTTTAGAAGTTCAAATTAAGCCATGAGTTCAAACTAAACCCCCCCAATAAATATACACCAAGCCCAAAGCCCAAACCCGCACTGACCCTCAGCTGTTCAGTTAGACTAACATCATATATTTACGTACGTAAACTTGGCCCAGGCCCCGAGTGGGCCCGGGGATTGAGCTTGCAACCCAAGTAGGTGCTCTTGACAGGAAGTGGTCCCAGGACCCTTCAGTCCTCAAGCCGACGCTCTACCCACTGAGCCAAACTGGCTAGAGCTGGACAGGTTCTTTGGATGAGCCTTTTCTCCTCCATGATGTGGGACATGCAAAGCTGGAAAACCTCTCTTACAAACGAGTGGTCTTCAGCCTGCTCTCCAAGCCCCCTTCCTATATGTAACGAATGACTTCAACTTAATTAAAACCCTCCAATGGTTCCGTAATGGGGAGCGGAGACACAGGAAGAAATCTCTTCACTATTAACTACCAGATGAGAGTAGCCTTCTGCTCCAGGGAAAGCCCATCCTACACTTCTCTGTCCCCAGAGAACCTGCTCCAGAGCAGCCTCCCTTCTCGGCCCCAAAGGAGGGGGACCCCAGTGTGGGAGAGAGGCAGAGACAGATGGAGGGGCAAGAGCACGGGCGTCCTGGCAGGCACAGATGCGCAAATACCCAGGTTCAAATGAAAGCTGAGCGCAATTACTTGGTTAATTAAATATTGACTTTTAACTCAAAAAGTGATTAAAACAAGCTGCAGGAAAGCCTGGCCAGAGAGAAGGGGGCAGACAATGAGTCAGAACTTTCCCCATTAGGGAGAAGTGGAGGATGAGGACTGCCGGAATGCAGGTCTGCACTGTCCTACTGTGTGCAGGCACTTACTCTGTGCAGGGGTGCGTGGCCTTTGATGGGGAATTTCAAAAAATGACGTCAGGTGACAAACGAAGATTTGTGGGTGTCTCCTTACTTTTTTCCACCTAAGACTCATCTTTTTTTCCAGGCTGCCCTCCAAGCGGCCCGAGCTTCTGGTGCTCAGGAACGGGGCTCTGTTGGTCCTGTCTCCCTGGAACCCTAACTCGGTGCCTGGCACCACGAGGTGCACCCCTTAACGCTTGCAGGACGAATGAATGAATTACTACAAAGAATGTTTGTTTGTTTCTTAAAGAGCTGTCCTAGAATTGGCAGCCAAACTTCGGAAACCCTCAGGAGCCCCAGGCGGGGAGCAATCCTCTGCAAGAGGCTTTGGGCACTGGTTTTGACCCGGCCCGGGCGGCACTTTGCCCTCCCGGTCCCTGTGCGTTCCCAGTCCCTCCCCAGGTCCGGTCCCCCGCTTCCCCGAGTCCTGCCCGGACCAGCCCCACGTGGTCCGAGCTTCTGGCCAGTCTATTGGGTCTGAACTCAAAGGGGTCAGGGAGGCCACCCCCCAGCGGCCGGCGGGCTCAGACTCGCTCTCCCCGCGGCCTCCGGGGCTCCGAGGGGCGCGCCCGCAGGTCCGGGGCGCGGCGGGGGGGTGCCCGGCTCGCCCGCGAGGTCAAACGGGTCACCCCCCTGCGGCCCGCTGGCGCCGGAGCCTCCTCTCTCCCGCCCACCCCGTGCCCCCTCCGCGCGCAACGAGGGGCCGGAGCCGGGTGGCCGGGCCGGCCTCAGCTCACCTGGGCGGCGCTCGCGGCCACGCTCCCCGCGGGGCAGGCTCCGGCCGCGGGGAGCCCCCGTCCCGCCCCCCCGGCCGCGGCGCCCCACTCACCAGCGCGCACGGCCTCGGCGGCCTCACCCAGCGCGGGGCGCCGCCACCGCTGCCGCAGCCCGCCGCTCGGGCCGCGGGGCGCAGGGGACTCCACGCCGCTGCTGCCGCCGCCGCCGCTGCTGCATCCTCAGCGAGTGCGGCTCCGCTCCTCCCGCCCCGCCCTCCGCCTCCGCCAGTCCCTCCGCTCCGCTCCCGGCCTCCGGCGCCGCCCCTGCCCTGCGCACCGCCCTCGCCAAAGTCCGGTCCGCGCCCCGCCCCGCCCGCCCTGCCCGGGCCGGGCTTACACCTCCCAGCCGGCCAGCCGCTGCCCGAGCCGGCCCCTGGGCACGGCCCCCGCCGCCTGCCAGCCTGCGCGCCGGGGGAGGCGAGAGCACGCGGGGCGGGGAGCGCCGGACCCGGAGCCGCGGGCGGCGGGAGCTGGGGAGCCGGGACTCCGCTCGGCGCCCTCCCCGCGCGCCGGAGCCTTTACCTCCGGCTGGAGGGACGCGTGGCCCGGACAGTCCGGCCCGGCTGCCCCCGGTGCACGGCTCCGGCCGGCCCCGAAGTCTGGCCTCGGACGGGCAGAGGCGGGGAGGGAGGTCCGGCAGCTGCGGGGCCCGGCTGGCCGCGCTCCCGGCGTGGAGCGCGCACCCTCGCCGCCGGGACACGGCGCACACTCACCGGCACACGCGCCGCCCGCCGCCCTCCGCGGGGAGCTGGAGCGGCTGCGAGGTTCGCCCGCGAGCCGGCTCCGTGCGTGCGAGTGTGTGCGCGCGTGCAACCCACCAAAGACCACGGGGGGCATCGCTAATCCATCAGTGATCTCAGTGAAGTCTGGAGGGCCATCGATCAGGTCCACTTCGCCGCGAACGAAGAGAAAGAATCCTAGTCTCTTTCCTTCTGAGCTGGAGGGAGTCGAATGCTCCGCGGGGCTTGCAACGGCCCCGCCGGGGGCTCCCCTCGTAATGACACGTTAATAAATGTTTTCTTTCATCTGCTTCCACGAGGGCTCGCCTGGGTTTGAAAACACCCACCGCTTTTGCTGAGAGCCCTGAGCTCACCTCTGACTTTTCTGCCTTTGGAGACGCGGGCGGGGGCCGGGCCTGCAGCTGGACCGCGGGGTGCACTGCCCACGCACCCGGGGCCTCCCCACGCGCCCGGGAAGCTCCCCGAGACACTAAACTTGAGCTCAAGTGAAAATAGCTGCGTTGCCTAGAAATGGTCCCGGAATAGGAAAGAATGGAGAAACGGGCTTCCTCCGAAAGGGGAGGAAGTAGACTCCAGGTGGTGCTGTCTACCGTGGTTTCCGCTGTCTCCAGAACACAGGAGAGGCCGGAGAAGGACCAGGCTGACCCTTGGTCACAGAGCCAGCAGAGAACCAATTAGCAGCTGCGGAAAGCATAGCTGAGTAGCTTAGGGAACCAGACCCTGTGCCAGCTAAGTGTACTGATAGGCAGTAGTGACTTATTAAAATCTAATAACCCCACAAGGTAAATTGTAGAATTATACCCATGCTACAGATGTGAAGACCAAGTCACGGAGCGATTAAGTTTCTGACTGAACTCACACAATTGTAAACGGCAGACCTAGGATTTGAACCCAAGAAACTTATCTCCAGAGTTATGTTCTTAAATCCCAGGTGATTGCTACTTTTCCAGCCCAGCAACTCCTTGCTCTGGAGTAGTCTTTTTTGTTGTTGTTGGTTATGGTTGTCTTGCTTAGTAAGTGAAAATGGACAGTGGTCTATGATGATATGCTTAATAAATACTTGGTTATTTATCTGGAATTCAGATTGGGGGTCCAGACCTGGGGGGACTCTATATCCCCCGGCCATAATCTCCCTCAGCCACCCTGATCAATTTACAGTCTACATAAGTCAGAAAAACCTGGAATTTGCTTTTCCAAGTTAGGTTCCGGTGCTCACTTTGGGCACTGCTGAGGTTGCTGATCTACCTTTTTTAGTAGCCTTGGTACAAAATGTCAGGCTTTCACCTTCCCTGTCACCAACCAAAAACTAATGGGGACCCCTTCCCTTTGGCCTCATCTCTGTGGAAGGACTGCGTGGTAATAGAACATGTCGGAGAAGCAGCTTTCAAAAGTAAAAGGCAGGTGAAATTAATGTTAATTATGTAGTTTCACTTAACCTAGGACAGTGGTAGGCGAACTCATTAGTCAACAGAGTCAAATATCAACAGTACAACGATTGAAATTTATTTTGAGAGCCGGAAACAGACTTCTGAGAATGGGCCACGAAGTTTCAATCGCACTGTAGGTGCGCGCCCGCACGTGGTATTTTGTGGAAGAGCCACACTCAAGAGACCAAAGAGCCACATGGGTTCAGCCACAGTTTGCCAACCACTGACCTAGTATATCTAAAATATCTTGTCAACATGCAATCAATATAAAAATTATTAATGAGATATTCTTTTTACTGCATCTTTGGAGTCTGGTGTGCATTTTACACTTATACCACCTCTCTGTTTGGGCCAGCTACATGGTACTCCATGCTCTAGCAGGTTCTGTGGTCCACTACTGAGTGTTTCTATGAGGTTATCTTATGATCCTATTAAGAGTCAGTCTTCCAAGAAAACTGAGAAAGTAAAGGGACTGATCAGAGTCACAGGTGGGATTTTGTGTGAGACTGCGCCTGGGTTTGGATCATATCCCTGTGGCCTCAATTTTCCAGCTGGGGCCTCAAAGCCTCATGGGAGTGTCTCAGGGGTCCGGGGTATGAGATTAGGTGAGATCTGCCTTTTGCTTGCTTTTTATGTTGGGTTCTGGAGAATATTTCAGAGGAGGTGGGATTTGCAGGACAAAAAAGTTTTAAAAACACATCTCCTTGCCCTAGCTGGTTTGGTTCAGTGTATAAAGTGTTGGCCTGTGGACTGAAGAGTCCAGGTTTGATTCTGGTCAAAGGCACATGCCTGGGTTGTGGGCTTGATCCCCAGTAGGGGGAGTGCAGGAGGCAGCCAATCAATGATTCTCATCATTGATGTTTCTATCTCTTCCTCTCCCTTCCTCTCTGAAATTAATAAACATATATTAAAAAACAAAACAGAACACACTGCTTTCTTTCATGAACTTGGCTCTCCCTTCCCTAAATGGGCCCTGCCTACAATTTTCCCTCCATCCTTCTCTCCTCATCAGGACACCCAGTAAAGGAGGGGCTGCATACAATCCTGCGCGCACTCCCCCACCCCCCCATGTCATCTGATTATCTTTTTGGATATTTATTCTTTCCACTGTTGCTGTTGAAAGACCAAACATGGTGATGTCTCTGTTTTGCCTCTTATCCTTTGTTAGGGGGAGGTGACAGGTCTTGGTGTGAGTGTTTCTTTGTGTGTGTGTACCGTGTGCATGTGCGAGCACATGTGTGTGCTCACTGTGGACAGGGGTGTGGATTGGGTTTCAGGGCAAGACTTAACTCTCCAGCTCAGACACTCATTGGCTTGGAGAATCTGCAAAGTACTTTCTGGCCGCATTTCTTTCTCCTAATTCACAGCGAACTCCATGGTCCTCTGGGTCCGGGCCCCGGGCCCAAGTTCTCCAGGTAGGTTGGGCCTTTTAGCTCCATTTGGGAGCCCAGTGACTGCCTGGGAGATGAGAAGGCCCTCAGGGGCTCAGGTGTCCTTCATCCTGGGATGTCACTCAGCTCTGGGTGGGGCCTCAGCAGAATTCTCATGACCCTTCTGGCGTCCTAATTCTCCAGCCCTGTCCATCTCCAACTACATCATCTGGGACAAGCTTTCTCCTCTCTTGTCACCCTGTTGGCATCTCTCACCAGGATCATCTTGCCTGGATCTTTCAGGCTCCCTATGCCACTCCCAACTCCTCACCCCTTTGTTGGGTTAACCTTGAGGGGACCTTTCTCTTGACACCTACGCACCTTCTCTCCTCCTCCTGTACGTTCCTTCACCCTCTGTGCAGAGCGCTGCCTGGTTCTATTGACCTTGCAAAGCCAGAATGCTGCTCTATTTCCTGAACTCCTATGCAACAATTAAACAAAGTAATTCCTGCTTCGTGTTTCTTTCTCTCCACCAAGAGGCTGAAGCTCAACCTGATTGTCCCTGCACTACTGGCTGCATGAGAGTGTGATGTTATGAGGGTTGTAAGAATTAAGCTTTTCAAAAACATCTAATAAAAAGTTGTCCAAGAAACGGTAAAGTAGAAACATGGCTGCAGACGAGAGGCTTGGGAATGCAAGCCACGTAACTGGGGCACAGGTGGCTTTGATAACCCACACGAGTTTGGCTGTTGCTTGCTTCTTTCTACAAATTCAGAAGAGGCTGCAGAGTCATCCGCAGCGGTTTGGGGTCACAGGTCTCCGTTGCTGAGTGGACACAGTTTTTCACGGATTTTAAAATACAAATCTCAGAATCATCCATAACATGGTACATTTGCGGTTAATGCTGCTGAGTTTTCACTTAGGCCCAGCTGTCTGGCTGGTAGAAATACAGTTGCATGAGGGAAAAACTGTTTATATTTCTTGAGATAGTGTGATAATGAAAAATAGCACCATAAACCCCCATTAAATCAAAAGGATATTAACTGTGTTTCCTGCTGCCTCCCCTGGCCGGCACGCGGACACTGACAGGCTTTCCTTCAGCAAAACGGGGTGGCTCATCTCTGCAGTGCAGTACCTGCTTCCCGGCTTAATTACACATAATTGTGGTGTCTAATTTATTTTAACGCCCGACGCCTAAAAGTGCACATTCATGAATCAAGGCTAGATTGGGAGGTAGGATAATTAAACACTGGTATAATTGCAGTCTCCTGGGGGCCGCTTAGGAGTAATCTCAAAGAGTCATGATGCTTATTCTGGATTCTTACGAATGACAGAATAAGCTGCCTACAGTTAAGAAAACAGAGAACAGTGACAATTTGTCTAGTTGCTTAGCCACTCACCCATAGTTCTCTTCTGGATAAGTGGGCAAAAAATAGTAAGCACACGGATTTCACGTGTGATGAAACACACACGCAGAACGGGTGCCCCTGCCACTGAGTATTAAAATGAGCCAGGCAGCCCCGGCAGCAAGCGGTTGCTCTCTACAGACAAAGCAGGACTCCTGCTCCTTGGTGGAAAAGCAGGGACCATTTGACCATACATGCAATTCAGTTTCCTCTCTCTCTTTCTCTCTCTGTGACAACACACCTATTTTACAACTAGAGGCCCGGTGCATGAA